ACAAGAAAGTTTGAAGTAGACGCGTTGTAACGATACACCTGCGGTAAATAAAACAAAGAATTTTCGATTGAAATGTCTTAGCATAGAGTGTGTTGCATTTTAGGTACTTACGTTTATGTAAGAGTCACGTTCTGTGAAACGATCTCCGAGATTATCTCTCGCCGTGCGGACAGAAACTGAGGCGATTACCTGTAATTGATTAATGTTTGTTTTATTACGTTCGATCGTATGAAAATTCTAAGGCATTGCATTATTTTTTCTTTTTTTTTTTTTTTTTTTTTTTGCAGTATGGTCTTTATACGTGTTTAATGGGGAGCTTCCTCTACATCTTCTTCGGGACGATCAAAGAAGTCTCGATTGGCCCATCGTCTCTGATGTCGCTTCTCACGTTCGAATATACCAGAAACATGCCAGCGGATTTCGTCGTGCTTCTTTGCTTCCTCGCCGGATGCATGGAGTTGCTGATGGGCTTGCTACGTTTAGGCTCGTATCGATCAGAATGATTTCTCAATAGTTCTGCCAACAGAATAACGCACGTCGATCAATTTATTCTCAAATGCAAAAACAGTGGAACAATAACAACTGGATCAATCTTTCGCGTGTTATGTAATTGAAAGTTGTGCATCGTTCGATGAAACTTGTCAATCTCAGACAGATAAATAAATATCTGTTGTGCACGCATTGAAAATTAATCGACGCAAGATTTATCCTTGAATCAATGTAAGAATGAGACAATCCGTGTAAGTTTCCAATGAATTTGTAAAATTTTAATTTTCTTGAAAGTTTCACGTGAAAAAATGAATTTTAACCTCTTGTAAAATATTTTTGGCTCTACTGAATTATATGCAGTAATAAATTACGATTGTAAACTACAAAGCACTGTGAGTCGTACAATACCGGAATTAACTAGTTTCATGTCGTGAGAAATTCTAGTATCTCGATACTTGGCTATCAGATTTGTCTTTGTTTGTTGTGGTTTTATTGCTTTCAGAGGTATTAGATCCACGCGAAAGGTCGATCCTCGCCAAAATTTAAAGTTGCCAGATTTTTACATCAAATCTCGTCTGAATTGACGCAGCCAAATATTAATTTTAGCAAATTTTGGTTCACACCCAACGATTAGTAGTATATAGTACTTTAATCACTTATTTCATTGTTGTATATTACTAGTATAATATTTTCTAGTATAATATAATTTAACGCAATGTGGCATAGTAGAACGGTAAATCCAAGGATCAAAATCCATTTCGATTAATTATTCCATCAAGTAAATAATTACCCAAGAGGATACGTCACGAGAGGTTATTTTAAGAGCGAGGCACTGATTCGCTAATTTCTTGATATATATACGTGAAATTAGCGAATCTCCAAAATGTACGAACAGGCGTGAGAAAACGAAAAATATTTACAGTATGAACAGTCGCAATCCTTTTTCATATCTTAACTAATTGTTAGTACAATATATTTAAACATTCGTTTGTTACTTGTCAGTCTTTCTTTTGTTTGGTTTCCTCGTGCATTCCCGGACAAACGCGCGATATATTATATATATATACGTGTACTATAAGTACACGAACAGATTGGCTTTTCCTCTTAACCTCTTACCTTATAAATCGAGTTACACTCGTGACTAGCGATTATTCTTTCGATTCAATAAGAAGATAATAACTCGTAACAATTTATTTGAATTCGGAACTCCTTCAGTTTTGATCTTTCACAGATTAAGGATTATTAGTTGAGATTATTGTTATGTAAATTCATACCTTTGGAATAGGTATATCATTGAACATTAAAGTAGCACTTGAGTGAAAAATTATGCCACCTGTTATACTGTAGTCGCAACGAGTGCTTTGCCAAGGATATTCCGTAGTATTCTGCATTTTTCATAAATGCAAATCGGCTAATCTGATTATTATACAAAACATCAACACTATATAAGATCGAATGATTTGCCAAAAAATAAATTATTCAAACATATATTTTCTGAGATATTATAATTACTGGCCGCTCCCTCATAATTCTTGATGTAATTTACTGGCCTTTGATGGCTGAAAATAATCCATCATTATAGTGTCAATTGTAAATAAATTAAAAATTAACACTTACAAAATTGCACTCTGAATAATTTAAAAAAAAAAAAAGAAAAAGGGAAAAAGAAGCAAACGTTCCACTTTTTTTACATACTGAGTTATACGCGATACGTCGTTTTGTTCACCTTAGTATATATATATTAAACGATGAAATTCTTCGTACACAGGCTTCTTAGTAGATTTTATATCGATGCCAGTCACGTCAGGTTTCACTTCCGCCACCTCGATTATTATAATCGTATCCCAATTGCAAGGGCTGCTAGGATTGAGGTTTAAAGCGCACAATATCATTGGCAATCTGATCAAGATATTTCAAAACATCAAGAACATACGAATGCCAGATTTCATCCTTGGAATTTGCAGTATAGCGTTCCTTTTATTCTTCCGAGTAAGCCTGTTCAATCATGTTCCATCCATGGAGATGAAGTATGCAATAGCTTTTTTGATTTTAATAATAATTTTACGTATCTCTCTTTCTTTCTCTCTCTCTCTCTCTCTCTCTCTCTCTCTCTCTTTCTCTGTAGCAATTGAAAGACGTCGATTGCTGTTTCGGAAAAGGCAATGGCCAGTCAAAGAAGCAGAATAATAAAAAGATGTACCTGAAGAAGCTATTGTGGTTTCTCTCCATCTGTCGCAACGCTTTGGTGATCCTGATCACTGCCACAATAGCTTTCTATCTCGAGAAAGCAGGATCCTCGCCGTTCATTCTTTCAGGTTCACATTTCTTATTTCTCTAGTTTTCATTTATTCTAGTTATTATTCTAGTTATTTACTCTAGTTATTAACTCTAGTTATTAACCCTATTGATTTAATTATTGATTGGACACCAGATGAATCAACTGTTACATATTACAGATATGCAATATTAAATATTAAAATTAAAATATAATATTAATATAAATATAATATAAATTATCTTGAAACATATAACATTGATATTAATAAATATTAAAAGAAAACTTATGATCTACAGAGCCACTGTTTGACTTTAAGGGTCAAGGAACTTTATAGACTGAAGGAGATATTTACCTCTGTTCATTTTCATTTAAAGGAAAGATACAGTCGGGACTTCCTACATTCTCTCTACCTCCGTTCTCTTCTCAGGTTGGGAACGAGACTTACACATTTTTGGACATGTGCTCCCATTTAGGATCGGGCATAATTATACTGCCCCTTGTATCGATATTGGCAAACGTAGCCATTGCTAAATCATTCGGTAAACACCATAAATCAATTACATGTGTGAAGATCTGTATTCAAAACAAAAAAGTTTCTTTTTCCTCTTTTAAGAAAACACTTGTTTTATCAAATATGTGAAACGCGGCAGATAGTCATCAATTTATTCATATACATAATTTTTAGTCACGCCATAGATACACGTTGGATTATTTACAATTAGAGTTCAAGTTTACATAAAGGTTTATTGCAATAGGCAATTCTTGCCTAGCTCGTCATATTTCACTATTCAGCAACGAGATTTTCCGAATTCAATAGAGCGCGAGACGAAAAGAAGATACTTGCTTTGTTTTCGAGGTTAATATTTTTGCTTACTGGAGCTGTTCCAAATTCGCATTAAACTTTTGGACGCGTCTCTGCCGACGCACGAGAATTCGCGAGAACTTGCAATTTGGAAACTTCGCTTTGTGGTCGAAGTGTGTTTGGAGATTGTTTCAAAATAGCATGATCCGAGATGAAATCCTTGCCCGAAAGAAACCGCCTCGTAATTCGAAAATTTCGAGATATTAACGTGTCACGTTGCGAATACAGACTCCGCCAGATTTCGCAGTTATTACACATCAATGAGATGCACATGTATATCGTGACAAGATTCGTATTTGTATTTTTAGCATGCGGCAGCAGCGTAAATGCGACACAAGAAATGTTAACACTCGGTTTGTGCAATATATTCGGGAGTTTCGTATCGTCGATGCCAGCTGCCGGAGCATTCACCAGAAGCGCTGTAATTTCCGCCAGCGGTGTACGAACGCCTATGGCTGGCATATATGTCGGTAATATTTTTATTTCGAATCGAAAATTAACTTGCAGAATTGCGAGAGAGAGAACGAACGAACTTTGTTTCATTCATTTTTATTTCAACAATTAGACGGTTCACAAGTGAGATCAATTCCATTCTTGAATTTTTCTTAAATTTTAGCATCGAAGCTAATTTGATGATTGATATTCAGTTTTAAAATTTCTTTAATAATTAACAAACTCTTTTTTTTTAATTGTATAGTAGTTTAGTTTATGTATAGTAGTATAGTATATATATATATATATATATAGTAGTATATATATATAGTAATATAATTTATGTATAGTAATTATACAAATATTTCATCTAACGATGTACATGAAAATCAGCATCCTAGGAATAATCACATCTATCATATGTGTATAGAAATAATCACATCTATCATATATATGATAGATGTGATTATTCCTAGGATGCTAATGATTTTCATGTACATCGTTAGATGAAATATTTGTACAACTATTTGTTTCATCGATCTCTCTGTCTTCTGTTTTCTTTTTTTTTTTGGAATTAATCGACTCTGTTATACTCTTTTTTCCTTTTTCTTTTTTTGAACATGAAATTTATAATTCATTGAAATTTATAATTATGTCTAATTGAATCATAATCTCATGATAAAGGTTTTTCACGAAACCAATTAATTTTCAGACAATAATAAAAGAGATATAGATTTTATTTTATAGTATCAGTTTCGTCACATCGCGAATTTGACTGTCAGAATGATTCGACGCCAAAATGTCGACAAAATTTTAACTCGTAATCTGAACGCTTTTATTACGAGCTCGTCAATTTTCAAATTCGCACGAGAAAAGTTTATTCTACGTTCCTAACATATTCTCGCACGAGGCATTACATTCTGTAATTTCTGTACCACGATTTCGAAGTCATCTTATCTGTTTGAATTAAATAGCAATTCACGTTTGTGTATGTTTAGTAGATTCAACTGTATAAAGCTAACATTCTTTTCTCTCGCGTGTGCACAATTCACATTTCTCGTTGTTCTTCATTATCGATCATTACTCAAGTATAATAATTTCGAATATTTTTGCAGGGACAATGACATTACTGGCGTTGAGTTTCTTGACACCATATTTTTATTACATTCCACGTTCCACGCTCGCAGCGGTATTGATAAGCGCTGTGATTTTCATCATTGACCTGAAGATAGTACGGTTACTGTGGAAAGGATGCAGTGAGTTTTGTAACTTTTGCCAACGTTACGGTGACATTAAGTCGATCGGAATAATAGAAAAAAAGAAGAAAAAAAAATTACTAAAAATAATTAAAACGTTCGAGCATTTGTGCAATGTCTCGAAATATCTCGTTTCGTCGAGCGATATATTTTCATTCAGATTTTCTTAGCAATAGCCCGAGATAAAAAAGATCGATAGGAATATCTTTCAATTAATTATCAGACAATTGGTTTTTCGTCTCGTGTGTAAATATATAGATATATATCTGTATACGAAGATAAGATATTTCATCGAGAGATCAGATATTTTTATCAAATTTCAATTATAAAGATACAGACGGGCATTCTGTTATACATTCAAGTCGATTATCACGATCTAAAGGAAATCATGATTCGAAAGAATTACGCTTACATTCGTTTGAAGACGAAGATTCATATTTAGCAAATGCATTCGAGTAAAGTTTTTTCACCAAAAAATGAAGATGTTAAAGATGCTATCAAATATTTATTTATTGGTACTTGTTGCTTTTTTCCAATTAATGTTTCACGTTCCGCGTTGAATAATTTTATTTTTTCTTTTTTTTTTTCTTTTTTTTTTGCAGAAAGAGACGCGTTCGCGGCGATAGTGACGTTTTTAGTTAGCGCGATATTTGGCGTCGAATTAGGACTTTTAGTCGGTGCTCTGTTCAGTTTGATATTCTTCCTTCGACCACCCGCCAGGCCAAAAATCGAAGTGATTCAGTGTAAGGTAGTATTATATTATAAAGTTTTCATAATAAACATTTTTGTTTGAGCATCGAATGTGCTTCATAAACTTTTCTTGGTATTTCTATTTTGTCGAATATGTATTCGTATCCAATTTAGCCAACTTCCCATTAATTATGAATGCATATGTATATGAATGTATATGTACATATATAATCAAGCAAAAATAAGTAAAAAATCCAATGAAGTAAAATCTTCACATAATTTCACATAACTGGATTTTCTTGGAAACATTAGATCCAGAACGAAAAAAGGGGTTCTGTTTTTTCAATTTGTTCTTGCAGAATAATCAGTTTCTATATACAATCAATCAATTGTATCACATTTTCTGAAACATCCCTATCATTTCTCAGTTTACTTTTGGAAAAATTATGTATAAAAATTATGTTTGTTTAGAAAAATTATATTTATATTATATATATTTATATATATTTATATATAATCAGTCAATTATACCATATTTTCTGAAACACCCCTATCATTTCTCAATTTACTTTTAGGAAAATTATATTTATGTTAATTATAATTATATTTATGTTCCATGTCTCGCATCGAAAGTCAAAAACTATCCGCCTTGCTTTTTTCAGACAGAACTTGGAAACAAGTACATAGTACTCAAACCGGATACTGGAATATTTTATCCTGCCGCGAATTACTTTTGCAATAAAGTGATGAAAATAATTCACAGACACGACGAAAACAATGTGCCATTTATCATCGATTGCGAAAGGATACGAAGTATCGATTACACAGCGATAAAGGTAACAGACACAATAAATTCAGGTCGTTTCGATTAATTATATAAAATATTAGACATTAGATAAAACATAGAAAATGTTTTTTTCTAAATTACAGGGTATTGAGTTAATATCGGCGAATATCAATGCCGAGGTGAAGAAGTTATGGTTCATGAACGTTTCTTCAAGGACCTATAATAGTTTCGAAGCTTTTGCGAATAGTAAACATTTTCACTTTGTCGATGAAGAGAAGATATCTTCCATCTTTTATGGTATACACAGTGTAATCTTTTAACATTTTAATTAGTATCAGTATTTTCACAGTTTAGTTACATTTTAATGTATTTTATTGGAACGTGCATGTATATGAATGTGCTTGTTAAAACTTTTTAGACGGACTTTCGAACAGCGCGGAAGAAATGAAAGATCAACTCGTAGAGAACATGATAGGGCATGCAACATTCGCGTGTGCCAATGATAAAAAAGAAGACGCAGAGATGTGTCCGAAAGTTATGACAAATTCTGAAGGTGGCGGAGAGGAAATTGAATTAATGTTGGCGCCGTCGCAAGAAACGAAACAAACATGAGAGAGATATCGTCTTTGCACTTTTAGTTATTTCCCTTAAGTTTACATTAATATTCTGCAAGCGCACTAACTAACATCAATGAAATGAATATGAAGCGAAATAGCTAAGGGTATGCATACCTCTTCTTTTCATGTACATTTGAAGTAACTTTTTGTTGAAAAGTTCGGAAATGCATAAACAACGGCAACAGCGTCAATTTTACGCTTAAGACTGAAATATTTTTTATTGTTATATGACAATAATAATAGTACAATGGCAAATTGAACTATTTCGCTCATTCAATTTGCAAAATTAATGCTTATTATTTCATCACTTTTTTTGAATTACATACCCAATCGGGTATGTGCATACTCGCAAAATACAATAATCTCGTTAGTATCAACGAAGCACGTGTACAAACTGCGATAGTGAATTGTGATATATAACAAGGAAGACTAGCAAGTCTGTGTACAAAAACGAGTCGAAAAACGTGTCTGCATTCACACGAGTATAAAAATAAAATATTTCCTTTGTGTATTACGATAAAGAAATTTCTTTATCGCGGTATAATTAATTTTAATTTGCAGTCAGTCGTATCAACGATTAGATTCGAGATGTGTATTTGAAGAAAGATTAAATGAACATAGCGTTACGAAAGTGGCGGCAAATAGATAATGTATATAAAAGTATATAATGTATATTAATAGAGCGTAATATAGTAAAAGAGCGTAATAAAATATAGATACAATTTCGTGCATTGTGTTTTGTTTTGATGATTACTTTGTTGATCAATAATTTGGTTCAAGTTGATCCCGCGACTTGAAAATATTTTGAGGAGAAATATCTTGTAATTATAAAGTGTCGATTATAACGAAAATAATGCATTTCTATGATATTTTTGTATATTATTTTTTATATTATTAATCTCAACAATTGTATTTATTTATAACAATTGAATCAGTAATTTGATTATCTTATATTTTCAAATTATTTCATAGTTTCAATAATTCATTTATGACAATTAAATTATTTTCTACATTTCTAAACATTGTTCGACAATTATTTAGTTTGTTTGTAACAATTAAACAAGTTTAATTTCTTCTACACTTCTTGTTTGTGCTTGTATCTTAGGATAGTTCTCCAATTCATCGTTCCTTAAGCGTAGAGTGCGCTAATGGTCATGTCTATCATAGTTTAATAAGTCACGTACTACCGAGTGTCACATTTAATCTATCAACCTAAAACAACATTTGTAAAAACAAAAAGTTTTTAAAACTTGAGGATAAAAGAGAAATAAAAATGAATGGAATTGATACATCAGAGAAGAAGCGATTAGAATCATTAAAACGTAAGAAACAAATTTTTAGAGCCAAAGAATTGGCAGTACAAAATGCACTGAAGAATTTGGTAAGTATGTTTTAATTAATTCTGTTTTGTCAATATTTGTTTTTATACCATGTTTGTGAATACCTAATTTTATAGGACAATAACACGAATAAAAATAAAATAATATTTGATGATAATGACATTAACGACATAGAACAATTTAAAATCAGAGAAAAAGCAAAAAAGAAAAAACGTGACTTATTTGATGATGCTGATGATGACAGAAATGATAATGAACCAGTGTGGGATAACCATAAATTTGATAGTAACAAAAATTTCACAGAGAAAGTGAAGTACTTATACATATCTATAAATAAATAAATTTTATAAACATTTAGATAATTAACATTAATTGATTATTTCTAGTATCTTGGAAATAATATTACTGATGAACGGTTCAAGCTTGACAAACGCTTCATGGATGATGGTCAAAAAACAAATACAGATATTAATGTAAATGACAATGAAATTGACCTACAGAAGGAAAAGGAATTACAATTAGATATTTTAGAAAATATTTTAGGAGTACCAATTGCTTCAAAGAATAAAGATACAAATAAAAATGTAAAATTTTCGAAGTACGAATAAAACAAATCGTAATCATAATGTTACATATCTAATCATAATACTAGAATTATGAATGAATACTAATTACTTACATTTATATATTATATTTTTCTAAATTACATTATATTTTTCTAATTTTTCAGAAAAAGAATGATCAGGTATGATCCCACAGAAAATGATCATAAAGAATATGAAATTAATACAGAAAAATCTGAAATAGAAACCAAAAATATTAAAAAAAAAAAGAAAAATAAATGTAATATCGAAGGCCCGATTGAAAATCCACCTGTGGAAGTATCAAAAGATGTATATTTTTCTGTATCAGATTCATTATCGAAAAGCTTAAAAGGAGGAGAACAATTTAGTTTATTAAAAACACATGGCAGAGAAATAACTAATGAAAATAGTAAATTTTCTTATAATGCATTAATCAAAATAATTTATTTTATATCATTTATATTTGTTCTTAATTCTAGATAATGACAGTAATGTTTCAAACCTGGAATCGCTAAAAATTCAATTAAATTTTGATTCAAAGAAATTATTTAAGTATGATTCATCCGAAGATGAACACGATAGTAAACAAGAATATACATATAATGAAAAATCTAATAATGAAAAAGCTGATATAATAGTAGATACAAATAAGTTTTTCTTTGATGATAATGATATTCGTTTTAAAGGTAAGTATTTCACATAAAATATAAATATAATAAAAAATTTAAAATAATTATTGCTTCATAAATATTCATGTTTAATAAATTCTAGAAGCAGAAAACTTTTTTTCGAAAGAACACGTGCCAACAGATACATTCAAAGATCTTAGACAAAAAGTAAAACAAATTGTACATTCGAAAATTCGAAAAAATATGAAAAAGAAGCAATCTTGGGGATATAAAAAAAAAATTAAAAAATCATCTTAACAACTCATTTATTGATATTTTAAATGTATAAATGAGAATGTTAAGTTACAACAATCACTTTTAAATAAAAGAAATATAATTTTATAAGAAAATTCATCATATAAAACAGTATATGAAATATAAAATATATCCTTTACCATATAAAATATCTCACTTTTTTAACTTGGAATTAGCACTTTGTTATTAACTAATTATTTGGATTTTCATTAATATTGTATATTTTAATAACGAATTATTGTCTTTTATGATTTCATCTTGTTAAGATGATTTATTTAATAAAAAATGCAGTTGTTACTAGACTTATTCAATTAATTGTAGTAAAAATCTGCCGGTTATATGATTAATCCTTTCGGCCTATTTTACCACACGTTCTATTAAGGGTCTTCAAGAAAAAGTCATGTGGAAGTCCACGAGATATTTGTTGTATATGCGTATTTAATAAATTATGTGTTTCTTCTTCATAGATAGCGTAAGTATTTGGTATACCTATCTCCTGATAAAGTTGTTTCACACGATTTATTTTTTCTGGATCAGAGTCTCCATAGCATTCCTACATAATAACAATATTGTGTTGTTATTCCAAAAAGAGAATACAAAATGTTAAATTAGTGACATACCTCCAAAACTTTCCTTTGTTCTGGTGTAGCACGTTGCAAAGCTACAGTAATAAGCCACGAACATTTTCCTTCTGCTATATCCGTGGTACCCAGTTTTCCACTGCTTTTCACATCAGTATAACAATCTAAATAATCGTCTCGTACTTGAAAAAGATGACCCATTTCTAGCAAGATTGTTTTTGCTTGTCTATACATTTCTGGATCTTTTATACCAGCCTACAAATAATACGTGAATAAAATTATGATCCGAAAATGAAAAGAGGCTTTAAACTATTAGATGTAACATAAAATCAAATAATACAATTGAACTTACAAAACTCATAGCAAGAGTGACTGGTAACACAAACGTATAGTAAGCTGTTTTATGCTTTACAAGAGCATTATACTTATCCATAGTAAAAAGACTTAAATTCGATTTATTTCCAAAATTTGTTGATATTAAATCTAGACATTGACCCATTTCCGTTTTAAATGTAATCTATGAATAATATATGTATGTAATATAAAAATTTCTATGTCCTTAATTTAGCAAACAAAATTCTCTACTAATAAAATAATGTAAATATTTTATCAAATAATATGGAATATTAACTATCAACTATACTGATTTTTTTTAGATAGATGAATTAAATAAAAAATATTTTATTTAGTTGGTATCGAATCAAAGTATTTTGTATATTATTAAATAAGAAAAATGATTACTTACTGATAAAAATTGTTCTATAACATCTAAATAACATTCTTTCGTCTTAAAGTGTTTCTTAAGAAGTTCATATAAACACATTTCTAACATTACACTGTCATTAACTGCTTTCAAACCAATACCATTGCATAGATACCAGCATGGTTGATTTCGTCGTATTTTTCCACCATCTTCAATATCATCGGCCATAATGAGGAACGCTTGTAACTATAATATATAATCGTATATATAAGTAATTTTTCAAATTGCTGAAAAGGAATTAATAAAAAAAACAAATTGTGTATTATTATTATTATTAAATATTATTATTATTATTATTATATTATTATTATTATTAAAATTCTAAAATGATATAAATTAAGAAAGATAGAAAAAATATTACCAGTTCTACGCACCAGCCTAGAATACGGGTTAAACGAAGATTTTCTTCCGTTAATTGATCCGGAGAAGCAAAAGATTTATATGCTTGTACAACCATTAACGCTCTGTGCTTCCCTCCACCAGGAACATTATATTGCAATACCTAGAAGTTAGACAGTAAGAAATATATTTGTTGTTAATATATCCTTTTTAAATGTAATATATTTGAGATTAAATACATGTAACAACAATATACTGTTAATGTGAAAATTGAAAAAAAAAGGAAAAGAAAGAAAATACCTTTGCCAGCCATTTTGCAACATCTGGCATATCATTATGACATTTAGTAGTGGTAAGATCACGAACAATATCAGGCCAAACAGCCATTAATTCACGACTTTCATCTTTGATTGATATATATGACGCATTCAAAGGTACAGAATATGTTCGTATATCGATATTCTTTGGCCTGAAGAAATAGCACAATCAAGAAAAATTAATTAAGAAATATTACATCTACATTAGCATGATATGACAATCAACTGAAGTAAAAGACATTGAGAATGTAAAAGTACTGTCATATCATAAGCAAAATTATCAATAGAAAGCTAGAAATTTACATAGCAAAAATGCTATTATTTTCTAATTAAATATGTGAAAGTATAAAATGTGAATAATGTATATAGAATTATATTTTTTTAAATTCT